AATCCATTCAAGGTCTGGTGCTGATGGCTCATGCCTATAATCGTAGTAAATTGAGAAGCTGAGATCAGAAGAATCATAATTTGAGGTCATCCATGGGCCTAAACCCACACACAATGATATGTGCCATCATCCCAGCTATGCAGGACGATGAGATGAGGAGGATCATGGTTCCAGACCAGCCTGGAGGAGGAAAAATCATAAGACTCCATCTCAATAGAAAATCAGGACATGGTAGTTCGTGTCTATCATCCAAGCTATGATAGAACATACAAAATAGGCAAATTCTGGTCCAGTCATGGCCTAAGCAAAAACAAAAACAAAACAAAGAACAACAAAAAAAGACCCTATCTCAAAATAACCAATGCAAAGATAAGGGTTGGAGCATTCCTCGGCAGTAGAGTCTACCCATCAAGTGATAGGTCCTAGTTCAAAGCCCACTGGCAAAAAAAAAAAAAAAGAAAAAAACCCAGCGGAATGACACTGACAAGATCTTAGCAACTCCTACATGGCAGGCCAAGGCCAATACTGAAGACAAAATCTATTCCATACCTCTCTATATCTTGGAGTGTTAGAACCAGGTACCATCTTGAGAGGGGACCTATTGTTTGAGATTGAGCTACTTTCGGGATCTGAAAATAAAGAACAGTCATAAGTTAAGGAGTCTAGAAACCCTCTGTCAGTGTCTGAATGGCAGCCAGGAAGAGCGCGAGTCAGTCACAGACTTGATAAATTTAAATCACTGGGAATTGAAGCTACAAAAGTATGGTGGTCAGTGGCTCCAAGCCCAGTGACCTGAGGATTTCTGCAAGGACTGATGTCTCCCGGCTCCTGTCCTGAGCCGCAGCATTAACTTGGCCATAGTGCTGCCTCCCTGGCTTGGGCCAGGCACAACTGAGAACTCTGTGCCCAGGTCTGGTGTATCACTGGATTTCCCCAGCTTCCTCTCTGCCACAGGGTGGTTTGTGCTCAGTAAGATCTGAAGGCACTGAGGCCAGCAGAAGGAGCTCTGGGCTCCCTTACTTCTTGCCTTCCACAGATCTCAGTGCCTTTTGTTTTCCCTGTTTTCTTTTTCTCTTTTTTTTAAATGAAAGATTATTTTTTTCTTTTCTTTTACTAATTTTATTTATTTACTGTGTATGTGGTACCAAGGAACCAAACCCAGGGCCTCATGCATTCTAAGCACATTCCTTGGCCCCTCCCCACTCTCTTAAGCAGTCAGGGGACACAACTCAGCTTGGATGTGGGTGCACAACCTGGGGAGCCTCTGGAGACAGCAGGAACCTGTTCCATAGGCTATAAAGTTTGTCAGGGCAAGCAGCGGCTCTGGATATACAAAGGGAAACATAAAATGAATGTGGCCCTGAAGGTGACAATGTCCTTTGACTAGCCTGGACCAGCCCTCCACCTGCATACAGCATCAGCCTTAACAGTAGGAACTAAGATGGACTCCAGGTATAACTCACTTCCACACACTCCCCACCCCAAGTTCCCCTCCCCAATCCCTGGATTACAATGCTACAGGACCCAGAAATAAGTTTTCCCAATTCTTTCTTTTTCTTTTGTCAATCGTGGGGCCTGAACTCTGGGTCTAGGCGCTATCCTTCAGCTCTTCAGCTCAAGGCTAGTGCTCTTGAGCCACAGCACGACTTTGGGCTTTTTCTGCTTATGTGGTGCTGAAGAATTGAACCCATGGCCTTATGCATGCAAGGCAAGCGCTCTACCACTGAGCCACCTTCCCAGCCCTCTTTCTCGCATATATCTGCGCCAGTCCTGAGGCTTGAATTCAGAGCTTGAGGACTGTCTCTGAGCTTCTTTGTTCAAGGTTAGTTCTCTACCACTTGAGCCACAGCAATATTTCTGGCTTTTTCTGAGTAGTTAATTGGAGATAAGAGTCTCATGGACTTTCCTGCCCAGGCTGGCTTCAAACCGTGATCCTCAGATCTCAGCCTCCAAAGAAGCTAGGATTACATGAGTGAACTACTGGTACTTGGCTCTCATCTCTTCTTTTTCTTCCTCTTTCTCACATCCTTCTTGTTCTTTCATTTCTTTTACTTAATCTTGTATCTTCACTTTTCCCTTTCCTTGTCTTTTCCTTTATTTCATTCATTCATTACTGTTGCTTTAACATTTAACTTCATAGTTTATTCTACATTATTTTTTGCTTTCTTTTTATCTAAAATATTTTTCTTAGTACTTAGTAGTTGTACAAAACAAGGTGCATTGTGATACTTTCATACATATATGCAAAGTATCTCTAATATTTTTCCTATGATTATTGGTGATATCTCTAATTCATTTCTATTTGTATTTTTATATTTATTGTTGCTGTTATGATCGTTGTTTTCTCCTCTCTGATTTGTACTAAGGATTGAGCCCATATGAGTGGTCTGCTTACTAAAGGAACTCTTGAATAAAACAAAAAAAGACACTTGTTCCAACAAATGAATAAACAACAACTTAAAATACATAAGTATGGCTGGGTGCCAGTGGTACACACTTGAACAGCTGTAATTCTAGCTGCTTAAGGGTAAGAACTGAGGATTGAGGTTCAAAGCCAGCCATGGCAGGAAAGTCCATGAAACATATATCTCCAGATAACCACCAAACAGCTGAAAGTGGAGCTATAGCTTAAGTGGTTGAATCTTAGCCTTGAGCAAAGAAGCACAGGTATACCACCCGGGCCCTAAGTTTGACTACAGAGCTGACACAAAAAACAAACAACAACAATAAGACCCATAAATATAAAAAGGCAGCATGATTCCTTTAAATGCTGGAGCGTCCTCAAGGCTTGTCTCTCTATCATGTCTGCTTACCAAGCATATAGCTCTGAGTTCAAAACCCTAGCACCACCAAAAAAAAAAAAAGAATGCCCAGAAGTTCACAACTCTTCAGTAACTATCCAAAGATACTGCAGATGGCTAAAATCCAGATAAAGAAATCAAAAGGATCAGTGACCTCATACAAAAGAAATAAAGATGCCAATTCAAGATCAGGATGGGAAACTGAATAACTCAGCAGATAGAGGTTCTGAAAAAGAAAAACATGAAATCTTGGAAATAAAAGGCTCAGTAAACAAATAAAATTTTAAACTCAGTGGAAAGCATCACCAATAGACCAGACAAATGGTTCATCTCCATCATTCTGTGACTTCCAGGAGTCCTGTTTAGGACACTAGAACACATAACACCTGGGAAATGGAAAAGATCCAGAAGACCAGAACATGGAAGGTAGCTATAAAAATTCCAGGAGAAAGCTAAGAAGCGAAGTATAAAGACACACTCCTCATTATAGTCAGTGTGGAGAAATCTCCAACTGGTCTCCAGATCCTAAGGTGAACAAGAGAACTTCTGAGTTAAAACCACATGAAAGCCAATGGCTGCAGAAGTCTGCAGTAGTCATTCATCCCATTGGAGTTCGCACCGTGCACAGTCAGTATGTGTACCAGGAACACAAAGAAAGGCCATATAAAGGTGAAGCATAGAGGACTCAGGCTGAACATAAACCTGTATGTGTGTAGTAAGCATGTGAGAAAGGCTTAAGTGGTTACAGTTTCTAAGACATCCCAGCTCTCACACTGAAGAGAAGCCCATGGATGTGAGCAATATGAGAAAGCCTTCAGTTCTATGTGTGACTTTCAGAGACTGAAATGAACTCACAGTGAATGAACTCAGTGAAAAGACCTCCAATGTGTGTAAGCAATGTGGGAAAGCCTTTTGTTATTCCCTCCACAGAGATGAAAGGATTCACACACTGGAGAGAATCCCCACACATATAGAACTGGGAACTGCATTCTTGTTACATGCCCTTTCTAGCACTAGTGAGAATGCAGTGAAGAGAGCTATCAGTGCATGTGGAAAGCTTCTAATGTCAGCTCAGTTCACAGATATGCTAAGGACACCCTGTGGAAAGAAGCCTTGAATAGAAGAGATGTGCTGAAGTATTCAGGCGGTGTACAATTCACCAAGGAGCATTATCTGTTTTTGGAGACAAAAGACAAGTCTTAATAGGACTTGGCCCTGCTCTGTGTGTGAGGTCAATTCCAGTCTTCTGGTCTTATTTTTATCATTATGACATTCTATTTAAACACTAAAGGATTTCCAATAATGTATTTGAAAGTGTTCTCCATAAACACAAATGCCTTTTCAACTTCTAAAACAAGTCTGAAAACTGTGTATTGCAATTAGTCCCCTGCCTATGTTCTCTCTTCTATCTCTTATTTTAAGTACCCCCTTGATTAGAGGTAAGCCTCGTGTCTTTTTTTGGGGGGAGGGGGGCGGTCCAGTCGTGGGGCCTGAACTCTGGGCCTGGGCACTGTCCCTCAGCTCTTCAGCTCAAGGCTAGCGCTCTACCACTTGAGCCACAGCGCCACTTCCACCTTTTTTCTTTTTGCTTATGTGGTGCTGAGGAATCGAACCCAGGGACTCAGGCATACAAGGCAAGCGCTCTACCACTGAGCCACCTTCCCAGCCCCAAGCCTTGTATCTTTAGTATAGGAAGGCTCTACAAGCTGAGGCATCAAAGATGAGAGGGGAGAGCAAGGGGACAAGGCAGTGGTGAATGGGAAGAGAGGAGCATTTGTGTGTGAGGCCTTAGATTCTAAGTCTGATTGCCTTTGGAACCTATATATGTTTACTTGCAAAATTTCTTCCAATTGGCAGCCACACTTGTAGGGAGAGTGAAATCTTGGTGAGACAACTCTCACTAAAGAGGAGCCATTGGCTGTGTGCCCGTGGCTCACGCCTATAATCCTAACTACTCAGGAGGCTGAGATCAGAGGATCGCAGTTCAAAGCCAGCCCAGACAGGAAAGTCCGTGAGACTCTTCTCTCCAATTAACCAGAAAACCTGAAGTAGAGCTGTGGTTCAAGTGGTAGAGCGCTCACCTTGAGCTGAAGAGCTCAGGGACAGCGCACAGGCCCAGAGTTCAAACCTCATGACCAACAAAAAAAAAAAGAGGAGCAATTGTATACACCTGTTTATATACCATGTGGTTATACTTACCTTGCAAGTTTGCTGAGGCCAAGGACTTGCTTGTTGGGAAGATAACCAATATGAACCTTCAAAGAGGAAATAGAAACAATGAGCTCAATAAAGGCACAGCACATCTTTGATGGCAAAATAAGGAAATACAGGGAAACTATGCTATTCTTACATGTAAATTCATCTCCATGACAATGTATCTTTAAAACATTCAGAGGCATTCAGACAGAAAAATGAAGCAATTACGGAAGTATTTTTAAATTACATAAAGATGGCAAAAGGACATTATAGATGGATGAGTCTATTAATCAAATGACAGATTTAAAGTGTTGCTGTGATATTCCCTAATAAAGTTAAATTCTTGATATGAATGTGAAAGTGTTTTCTCTACAGACAGGAAAAAATTCTCAAGAAAGAAGGGAGAGTCTTATTTAATGGCATAAACTGTAAATAGAAATGTTGTCATTCTGCACATCACAGTGCTTAGGAATCACACTGCAGAGTGCTATTGCACAAGGGTCTCTACATCCTTTTATGTTGGCTGCCCCATTTCTAAAGGAGAGCTGGGAGAGCTCCATCATCCTGATGGAAGACAATGAACACAAGCTAATGCTGTACCTGCCAGAACATGCACCCTAAGAGACAAGTTTTATACATGACCTACCTACTATAAGGCAAAGTCACTTCTACAGTCTTTAAAGGCACCATTAAATAATAGGTAGATGTTACCTTGCTTTTAAGCCAAATACGAAGAATGAAAAACATAAGCTCTCTGGAAAAGGCTAATTAAGTAAAGGGTCATTTATAGGCAATCAATGAACCAGATATAAAATTACAGACACATCTCTCTCATCATGATTGCCAACATAAAACAGTCTTCATTCATTCAGCTAATATTTACTGATAACAATAATAATATTTACTGATACTATTACTGATGTAATATTTAGTGAATTTTTTATTTGCTGTTATTGTAGAGTGGCTATATAGAGGTATTGCAGTTACATGATTCAAGTAATGAGTGCAATTCTTTTTGAATCATGTCTCCTCTTCCCTTGCTCTCTCCTGCCTCTCTCTTGTCCCCAAACAAAAGATTTTTTTTTTCATTACGGCTATGTTTTAACGGTTTGAGAATTCTACCTCATTACCTTCCTAGAAGACAGGAGGAGAAGACACAGTAGCATCTGAACACTGGGTGTTACAAAGATAAGTTACTCTTCTATAACAAACTATATAAATAGTTATCTGTAGCTGCTTTGTATTGGGAAAGCTTTTTAGATCTTGCTCCATTTACAATACATTCTAAGGATGTATGTAGTAAATAAAGCTTTCTTTAAAGCAAAAAAAAAGTTACTCTTCTATACACTTGAAATTGCCATGCTTATTTATGCAGAACTAGAATATGCTTATAGTTTATACTATTTTTGGTCTTTATTTAGGACCTAAGACATCTAAATGTCCATTTTAGAAAATCGCCACTAAAAAATAAATAAATCACCACTAAAAAGCAAAGCTAGTAAGAACATGAATGCAGAGGTAATTATCACAGTAGGTAGGAGGATGCAATAGCCAGAGGCTAAGTACAGGACTAAATGCTTTGGGTCCAACCCATGCCAGGCCAGGGTACTAATTCTCCATATCCTCTTGGAAAAAAGAAGATGAATTTGTTTCACTTATAGCAAATAAAAGGCGGAGATGAGCCCAAAAGTTCCTTCATTAACTGTGGATGCCTCTTCTGTAGTATACTATGAAGTCCTTGGCACCCCTGTGCACGCTTCTGTCAGAAATGTTCATTCTTAAAATAGTGAAGGTTCAAATCAAACCTAGCTTTTAGGAAAGCTAGAGGCTGGAAGGAACAAATCCAGAAGGTGAGGCACGCCACAGAATTAACAGGCCTAGTCTCTTCCATAGGGGGAGGAGGGGCTATTTTAGAAGAAAACAGTAATGCAGGAGACACCACAAAATGCCAACAAAAATACAAAGTGACTCCTAACTAGCTTCTTCATAAATCCATGGAAAATGTTTGCAGTAACTGGAGAACTCAAAATACATGTTATTAGATGCTACTTAGAATTTACTTTTAATTTTGTTTGTGGTCATGCTACTGTAGATAAAAATATTTTAGAGAATGTATTGATTCACTTGTATTGATTACCAATTAACTGATGATGCTATTAATATTAATTGCTGTTGTTGGCCAGTCAATATTTCAGGGCTAATAGTGATTAAAAATAATCTTGTCTATAGTATAATATTTTATATTAATATGTTGAATGACAATTCTAATTTATTTTCAAACTGAGTTTTCTTGGGAAGGAATCCTTATCTTTTAAATAAGGAGAAACTATGGACTATATCTGGGATGTGCTTCAGCCTAATGCAATGAGGAAAGAGATATAACATGACTAGCCCTGTACTAATGATAACTCTTGAAGCTGGCTGATATGAACATGGGAGATTATTATATTAGCCATTTTATTGTTACATATGTTACAATTTTTCAATGACAAAAGTTTTCTTTAAGGAATACCACGGGCTGGGAAGTTGGCTCAGTGGTAGAGCGCTTGTCTGGCATGCATGAGGCCCTGGGTTCGATTCCTCAGCACCATACAAGCAAAAAGAAAAAAGCCGGAAATGGTGCTGTAGTTCAAGTGGTAGAGTGCTAGCCTTGAGCTGAAGAGCTGAGGGACAGCGCCCAGACCCAGAGTTCAGGCCCCACGACCAGACCCCACACACACACAAAAAAGAAGGGATACCACTATACTTACAGCTGAATATTAAAATTTAGGCTGGAAATGTGCAAGAATGGGAAAGAGTTAGAACTCCAGTACATGGCTGGGTGTATAAACAGGTGAATGTAGTAGAATTTCTTTTGCTTCTGCTTCTGCTTCTTTTGTCGGTCATGGGGATTGAACTTGGGGTCTGGCACTGTCCCTGGGCTCTTTTGGTCAAGGCTAGCACTATACCACTTTGAACCACAGTTCCAATTCCAGTTTTCTGGTTAATTGGAGATAATAGTCTCACTGCTTTCCTGTCCCCAATAGCTTTGAACCACAATCCTCAGATCTTAATCTCTTGAGTAGGTAGGAGACAGGCATGAGCCACTAGTGCCCAGCCAACTTGGGATCTTTTAATCCCATGCCTAGAGAGGTTATTCACAGAAACACATGCATATGTTTACCACGAGACAAGTGATACCAGTGTTGTTTGCAATACCCCAACCAGGATAGCGCAAATGTCCACTGGGAGAAGAACAGATAAACAGTGATACACTACTTAATGCAATAACATAGAACAGTGAAAATAAACATCTTTGTGTGCTTTGGGTATTTTCCTATGTTTGACTTCTATTTTTAATGAAAAAATAGAACTCTAACACAAATTAAAGCAAATATGAATATTTATTCAATTAAACTATGAGTATATGGGTACTCACAATACTATGTCTTGCAAGTCTTTTGTTTGAAATTTACTAATAGCCAAAATAAAATTATATAATGGTGGAGAAGAAAACAACTCTTCGTCCTAAACCCACATGTTTCAAAGGTACATTTCATTATACTTACAAAGTTAATAATGTGCCATCTAGCTTGCACTCAACTCATTTTTCCTAATATGGAAAGCAATAGAATCAAATTCAATCGATTAATACCTTAACCTCTGACCCAAGAAATCTTGCTATCACGACTGCTCATGTCATACATATGCCTTAGATCACCCTTTATTCACTCAAAATAAAGGGCAAAGATTTTCAGAACATCATCCCCAAAGATGCTACCTTGACCTCATTCTCTTCACCTTTTACCACGATATTTAATAGGAAAAAATGCCTGGGAGGCCATCTGTTGCTTTGTTTTCATTTCTGCTTCTTACCTTGGAGTTATCAGAGTAGTCAAGCTGATAGAGTAAATATTTCAATATAATGCTAAATGTTTGGGATATTTGAAATTTGTGGGCTGGGAAGGTGGCTCAGTGGTAGAGCACTTGCCTTGCATGCATGAGGCCCTGGGTTCGATTCCTCAGCACTAAACATAAGCAAAAAGAAAAAAGCCGGAAGTGGCGCTGTGGCTCAAGTGGTAGAGTGCTAGCCTTGAGCTGAAGAGCTGAGGGACAGCGCCCAGGCCCAGAGTTCAAGCCCCACGACCGGACCCAAAAAAAAAAAAAAATAGAAATTTGTAGCTCACACTTTTAAATAGAATTATACTAAGTTAAAACTTTCATTTATATGCCCTTTTAAATAGTTAGGAAATAACAAGGAATGTCTTACCCTTCCAACGAACGGAACCAGATGATGCTCACACATGGAAAACATATCTATGTCCTTCACAATCACCATCTCGTCGTGGTCCTCATCAAATATTGCATCGTTCAGGACATCTGAAATCAGAGGCTTGACTTAGTCACATTGCCAATTTTACACAAAACACAAAGTCGAAAGGATACTGTGATTAGATAGGAGAAGACAATAAGCGTTTAAAAAGGTGAATCCTCACTGAAGTATTAAAGACATATAAATGAAAGCTACTGAATTTTTCTATTAAGTTAGTAAAAGTCTTTTTTCTCTAAATTACATTCTTAACAAATCCTCGAGACAACATGTGACATAATAAATGTAGAATTACAAATAGGGTTATAGTATGAGAAAGAAGACAGGAAGACTGAAGCTAGGCGAGAGAAGAAGGCAGGCTGGAAGGGGGAATTATGGAAAATAAAAGTGGCTATTTCTGTAGGTAGACATGGGTGACTCACCATCTTTTACATTTCCTCATACTTTGTGTTCCTCTATAATGGCTATGTAGAACACCAGGTATGAGGGAAAAAGTTGCTGTTCGCTCTTTGCCTTCACAGTCCAGAACTATACATCTCTATTATCTTTTTTTTCTTTTTTTCTAGATCCAAGACCAAGACTCAAACCCAGTACCTGTGGCTACCTTCACTCACTTGCTAGCATTCTACCAACTGAGCCATGCCTCCAACCCCCCTGACCTCTATTATCAACTCCCTAGATAGCTTCCTACACCTGTAAACTTCCTCAGTGCAGGCACAAAAAAAAAAAGGAAATAAATCTGAGGAGGTTTTGGGAGACAGTGTGCTGTATAAGCTATGAACCTAGCACATACGGTCAGCTTACAACAGACATTTAAAAATGAAAAACAAAAACTTTGTTTAAAACGGTGCTCACTGAACATCACAAACTCATCTGCAAAACAGTATGTTAATTAGATAATGGGGGAAAGGGAAGACTAGAAGAATGCCCTGTCTTGAATGCTGCCTAGGAAAGGCAGGAAATATGGTACAATGTTACTATAGCGTGGCACTAATGGCAGCCAATTCCCCAATGTTGTCTGTGAGTGGCATGTGGCACTAAAACCTCTTTAGCTCTGTTGTCAAACAGGAAAAGAAGCCACAAAGAAACACAGTTATCATCTTACTTTTATAAAATTGATACATGCAGGTGCCAATGGCTCATGCCTATAATCCTCACTACTCAGGAGACTAAAATCTGAGGATTATTGTTCAAAGCCAGCCCAATCAGAAAACTCTTTGAGGCTTACTTCTAATTAGCCACCAAAAAAGCCAGAAGTAGAGTTGTGATTCAACTGATAGAGCACCGGCCTTTAGTAAAAAGGCTAAGGGACAGCACCCAGGCTCTAATTTCAAGCCCCAAAGAAAGAGGGAAGGAAAGATGGGGGGGGGGTAGAGAGAGAGGGAGAGGGGGAGAGGGAGAGGAAAAACCCCTGTACTGATGCCCACACAGCATGACCGATAAGATATAGCAAGATACCTCGCTATGATTTCAAGGATTTGGGGGATACCCAATCTACCCAGTATGACTACACAGGAGGGAGGTGATGAATACAGCTCTGCAGCCACCCACAGCTATTTTGCCCTCAGAAAGGAAGGCAGCTTGGTGAGTCACAGAGAAGATGTACAAATGTCCACCCACACTGGCTGACCTCCAGTGGCCCTGATGCTCCTCAAATAGGGGCTCGGCAGATACTGAGTCATCAGCTCAACCACAGTTCTTATCCCCTGAGTCAGGCTATTCTGAGATGCAGTTGATCGTGCGGCAGAAAATTCATTAGTGTGGTCCACAAAAGTGGACGTGTGGGGTTGCAACACACTCAGATACACACAGATATGAGTGGCTGGTAAAACCTGGGGAGAAAAAGGCTCACTGTCATTCTTTAAGTAAATATTCTTTCTCCAATAGCAGTTTTCTATTCTGAATATTCTGACCTAACCTTCGGTCATATTTCTGAAAGAAGTTCAAAAATAGCTCCTTAGTGTTCCCAGAAGTATGCCGGATTTCTCCAAGAGTTTAATATAATGTCATTACATGTGTCACCTTATGAAAAGCTTTAGCCACACAAGAAATACTCTCTCTCTCTCTCTCTTTCCTTGAAGAAAGAAAGAGGATCATCAAATGTCAGATACATTTATCTCCTTTGGCAAAGGAAATCCCCCAAATTATAATTATGCTATAATCATCAGAAAATTTGAAGGATATTCTACAAAATAAGTCAACAAGTATTTGTTTTGTTTTGAAACAAAGTCTCATCAAGTTTCCTAGGCAGGTCTCAAATTAATAATCCTCCTGCCCCAACTAACTGGGATTAAGACATATGCCACCATGCTGTCTCAATAAGTACTTAAAAAAATTTTATTGTCAAGGGGTTACAGTAAAGTATATAAGTTACATAAGTAAGGTAATAAGTACATTTCTTGTCAAACTTATTACCCTTTCCCTCATTTTTCTCCTACTTTCCCTCTCCCCTCACCCAATGCAACAAGGTTATGGAAAGACATGGAAGGATGACAGAACTATGCAGTAGGAGAGGAGGCTAGGAAATAACTAAATGCAACAGTAAAATCAAAATACGCATATACACAGGAAAGGTTAATGACATTTCACTCAACCACAGGTCCCATATACAACAGTGGGCCTGTAAGAGTATATCTCCTAATAATGTCACAGTAATCTTACTTCATGTGAGTATGATTTGACATTTACACAGTAAAATTTCCTAGTGATACACGATTGTACCTTTTCATGGAAAAATAAAACCATCGTGGCAGAAAGTACACAGGTGCTTCACCAGGAATCAGAAAAGTGGGAGAAGCATGCTGAGTAAAGAAGGTCCATGTCTTCATTCTATTGGGAGTGCTATGTTGCTAAAAATGCACATTGTCCACGTAGAGTTGGTAAGTACCATTAAATGTTAATTATACCTTAATAAAATGAACTTTATAAAAACTTTTTAAAATGTGTACTAACTTACTTTATTGTTATTATAGAGGTGAGGTACAGAGGGATTCCAATTACATGAGTCAGGTAATGAGAACCCTGCCTTTTGTGCAGTGTCTTCTGGTCCCTCATTCTCTCATAGTCCCTCCCTCCTGTCTCCACCAACAAGTTGTACATTTCACTTTCATCAATGTCCAGTGAGCTCCACTGCTGCACTTTTTCACCCCAAATCCTCAAGTTCCATATCCTCCCCCCAACTCTTCCAAAGATATAAAATGAACTTTAAAAAATAATCTTTAAGCCAGGTGCTGGTGGCTCACAACTGTAATCCTAGCTACTCAAGAGGCTGAGATCTGAGGATCATGGGTTGAAGCCACCTAAGACAGAAAATTCTGTAGTTTGGTTTTGGTTTTTTGGTCGTTTGTGGGGCTTGAACTCAGTGTCTGGGTGCTGTCCCTGAGCCTCTATGTGTTCAAGGTTAGCGCTCTACCACTTTGAGCCACAGCTGCACTTCTAAGTTTTCTGGAAGTTAATTGGAGATAAGTCTCACAGACTTTCCAACCTGAGCTGGCTTTGAACTGAAATCCTCAGATTTTAGCCTCCTGAGTAGCAAGGATTATAGGCATGAACCATTGGCACTTGGCACGTATCTATTTTATAAAAGTAAGATGACACTGTGTTTCTTGTGGCTTCTTTTCCTGTTTGACAACAGAACTGAAGAGGTTTTAACGTCACATGCCATTCAGAACAGAGGGATATGGATGGAAATGAGCTGTCACTTAATATAATCTATCAGGCAGTTTTGAGTTTGAACTCATGCAAATATTTACATACTCAAAATCAAAAGGAATAAACCCGAAATCCTCATATGATTCAATGCTTTGTGTGGTAATAAAACATTAATATGTTGCCTATATCCTATTTCATTAAATTGAACCCACACTATAAACTTGGCCTAGTCAAATCATTGTTTTTCTTCAGTAATAAAGTTCCCCAGCTATATTTACTTATGTTTTTCTCTAACATATCTGTAAGCTACCATCTTTGGATAATAAGAACAAAACACTATCACAGATTGCTTTAATTTCCTGCTTGTTATCAGCAGCAAGAAGGTAACCCTGGAAACGAGGGTTTGTGGCATTCTGTTTCTTACTGTTAGTCATAAACACAAAGGAGAATGTAGTGGCCTCCCACAGCTAAAGGTTTGTCTATACCATCATCAAACAATGTCAGTTTGAAGGGATAATATTCTCCTGCCATCAATAACTAAGCAATGACAGTATACAACACTGCACAGCAGCCATCTCTCAGGAAGTTAGCCTGCTAGGTAGAACCCCTTATGGTCTTAAACCCCTACTGGTTTTACAAATAAGAAAGAGAGAGAGAGAGAGAGAAAGAGAGAGAGAGAGAGAGAGAGTCTATATACTTCTGGAATTAAACCAACTCGTTACTTACAAGGAGAAGCTAAGCCCAACTGATGGAGAAAGTAGTACATCATTGGTCCAAACCCTCCTAGTACCAGCTAACATCAGAGCTGTCTCTATTGGCATATAGCACTTATTTCTTTGTGCCTTTTAGTACTGTGATTACTTGAGCTTATTTTCCCAACCCATTTGGGTTATATAAGCTTCTGGAAGGTAACTGTTGTATCTTAAGGCTGTTGGAGTTTCAGAATGTCCTGGAGTACCATGCACAAAGCTGGAGTTAAACACAGATCCACCTATGTTTATCCAATTAATATGTCCATCTTGACCTTGTAGTTCACTTCTTTAAAACAGATTTGAAGATAAAGGAACTCATAGGGTGAAGAGAATGTAAGAAGCCTCACTACAGCTTTATAGGTAATTGCAAAAGCTGGTGACTTAGCTGTGAATTACTCCATTTGGATGCAGCTACCCCCTACAATAAGATCTAGCAATGAAAGTGAGTGATTCTAAGCCTCATTTATAAATAAATCCCTGGAAAAGCATGGAGGTAGAGCATAATCCACTTACATCAAGTAGAAACAATGCTACACATTTGTTAGAGACATTCTATGTAAAAAATGAAATTATATGTATCTCATACATGGATTTCAGACCTAAAATACAATCTCCCATGTAAACATACACAAAGACATATGCTTTAT